ATTCAGCGAAAGAAAATTCAAACCTCGCCGTTTCGTAATAAACCCGTGGAAATTGCTATAACACGTCGCGCGACGTATTAACTCGTTCCGAATAACACTATGCCGTCCGCAGATCTTAGATACGATTCTTTTGTTTGACGCCGGCATAATAGCTTGGAAATTTTAGATTTAAAAAAAAAATTTCGAAGATCGCGGTAATATAAATTCCTAAAATTAAGATATGTCATCCAAGAATTTTCGTACTTAATTCTTAGTTAAATAAGCACAATGCTATAGTTAGTTTGCTGCCTTTTAACGTCCAAGAAATATAGTTCAAATTTTATTTCAGTTTTTTAAAATGGCACCAAAGTGGTACCACCGGCATACAACAGATAGTTTTTGCATGGCACCAGCGTGGTGTCACCGGACGGCATAGTGTTAAGACGCCTCGATCGCTGAAACATCGATTGCGGTTCAAGAAAGAGTAAACCAGGCTTGTTAATCAGACACATCAAGGCGGCCTGTTTGCGGAACGCGCAGACGTGTGTAACAAGACGGTAACGCGTTGCTAATAATCGTCCGGCAAACATAAACACTTCTATATTCGGCTTCCTTTTAGCATAGATAAAAGATATAAATTTATCACGCGGAATTACGTCACGCGTTAGACGTGAACTTTAACGATAACGCGGTGCATGCGAGACACCGGGGGATCGGTCAACGTCATTCGTCTCTGCAGCGGCGGTGTTTTCAATGCGATCATTGTAAACATTATCATCGCGGAATAATAATTATACGCGGGCATCTGGTCGCGATCCTCCAGACCACGAATTTAGCGAATTCGATCGTTAAAATAACGTTTGTCGAAGTCTGTGTTTCATAATTACATAGAAAAACATTAGAGCCTCGACTATCCGAACCTACGGTTTTTGATCCGTGTACAATAGTTCTCCAAAATGCTTCTCTCCTGATCTGGTGAATTTAATTAAAAAGAAAAAGCGAGCTCGCCCTTTTCCATAAGCAATATTTTCGTTTATCTATTTAACTTTATTCTAGTTTACGTTCTAAATGTAGAAAACTGACCAGTCAGTGATTTTATACGCATGAAACCGAATTGTCGAGATACAGAGTAACACCAAATTTCTTTCTGGAGTTTCGTTAATTCCAAGCGTAAATCAACCAACTTGCCTTCTATGATGTTTTATCGGGACGAGATTGTGGATAATGATAACGCAATTACTAATCTTTCTAGTATCTTCTTTGATTCCGTATAATAATCTAAATTGCTCTGTCACGGAAAGTTGGCTGTACAGCTGCATTGCTGATATTGACATCAGTTTTAGTGGTGTTGTTAAGAAGCTTAACACGTTGGATATCGGGCCGAATATGGATGATATTCTATCGGTATTCTTTCAAACGTGTTGCTGTATCTGATCACGTCCACTTTGGCTTATTTTTAACCAATCGTTCGGGAGCGAGCGTTCTCCATCATGCTGGAAAGCTATGTGGACTTCAAATCAAGTGACAAACCTACCATTGGTAATCAAAGACCAGTAATGTTGATGCGGCGATGTACTTCTCTACTTAATAAGATTTTTATGTTAATATTTGTATAACTAAAGGGACCTCTACTCCGTTTAATAAATATTATTATAATTATAATAATAATAATAATAATTATTATTATTATTATTATTATTATTATTATAACACTATTTAATCTAGCACCTAAATAATTGTTCTATTACCAGAAGCTTCATGTTTTCCTAATTAATTCGGATAACCGAAGTTCTACAGTGCTGAGACGGCAAAGATACTTTTGCGAGCAGTGAATGTACCTATTTACTCAATTTGAAATGCAAATTAGACGCTCCTGCCGCTTGTTCTAGTGTTAAAATGTAACGAAAGATTTTCTGTTCCCGCACCGAGGCGACGAATTAGGTCACTTGCGAGCTGACTGCAATCAATTTCGACCTTACGAAAATCTGCATTACTTCTGTGACCCGATAGGAAACGATTAGCTAATTAGCTCCAGTAAATCACGGCGTTTTAATCACTCTAACTACGATTAGATTTATTTTTGCGATCATTTTACTATAGCGTAGCTCGACAACTTCGCATCCGAGAATCGTAAACACATAAATCATTTCACAGTAAGAACATTTATGGAATGAATTGAACGCTGTTCGACCAAAATGCTGTTGCGACGCGAAGTTGCACAATAAACGCTCGGAGGAAACGACTGAAAACTATAGTGAAACGGTTTCGGCAACGATCGCCGGTCATTTCGCGTTCGATCGGGGAAAATCAGCGAAAGAGAAACAACTGCGATTCGCGGGAGTTCAGTCCGAACGAAGTTTAGGAACGACTTCGATATTTTCCCCGATTAACAAACGAACGTGATCGTTTTTTAAACGTCCTTCGCCGGCAGCGAACGAATTGGAGTAGTCCGGCTCCAATTAGCACATTCTACTACGAGTTTACGTTTCCTTAATCATTCAGGTCGCCCTTTAACGAACGTACCGTAATTAAGGCATTCGAGAGTAAGTCATCGTGATCGTGACTACTCGCATAAAGGTCGGGATGGTGTGTAACGATGAATAAGGTAATTAATGTATACAGCTAGAGTGCAAGACCGCGCTCCAAACTTTGCCGCTAGCATAAATATTTTGACGTGTGTCTCGATCGGTGTTTTCTTTCGCTCTTTTTTCTTATCCGTCGTTTATTTTCGAGAAGTACGAGCGCCCTAGTTAATTCTTAATTAACAAACCCGAACCAGGTTAAATACTTTTAATACTATTTTCGCCGATGTACATATCTGTTCTTAACAAATTAATTATACAATCATTACTGGCAGAGTTAAAAAGTGAATCGAGGGGAAGTGATTAATTGACTACGGATTTTATGCATTTGTAACAAAAATGTGCAATTTAAAAGAGCATTGAAAATAACATAACTGAAGGATTTCGATACACCATTTTCAACCTATTAAAGTTATTAAAGAGATAGAGAAATCCACAAATGACTCCCGTTTCTTGCAACAGATGCAGAACATTTTTATTTTGCATGAAGATCCGTAGTCTAGTGATAAATAATTTTGAATTAATTTTGGAAGATTTCTTTCGAACCCTTTGACAATGATAGCGTTAAAGGTCGAATTTTTTTATACGGAATAAGTATCTTTCTAAAGTAATAAAAATGTATAAAACACATTTTCAGTTTTATTTAATGCAGCAAATTAGGGGAGAATAATTATTGGGAAGCGTGCAACGTGTGCTTCAAACATTCCTACAGGGTGTGGCTCCGAACACCTGTTCGTCGTATTCAACGACTGCCGCAAATTGTTTCATTCGTACTGTCTCCTCTTTTTTTAGAAATTGTGTTCCTTTGACTTTGTGCGCTATACGTGGTCAGAAAATAAATCGACCGCAAAAAGCAACGAACAAACGGCGAGGCAACACGGAATGTGTCATCGAGAACCAATTACGATACAAATTCTTATAGGCGACCGAAAATAAAATTGATCACTACAAGCCAACCAAGGGAATAATAGAAACAAAAGGAAAAAAAGAATAATGTGATCACAAGTGGTCGAGTCGCTTCTGTCAGCATTCGATTATGACGTTCGATTTATTTATTTACGTTCGCATTAATTGTTTACGGAAACTGTGTTTACGAAGTACGACGTTTTAATTCGTAAACATTGTGGCAAACATGGTTACACAACGCTCGCCCATCGGTCCCATCGTCGCTTAGTGCAACGCGAAAGTGATTAACAACTTAAAAACAACATTGATTGTATTTTGTCGACAGAAAATCGAGTTCTTTATTCCGTTAACACTACCTTCAACTTTTTAGTTGGAACTGTTATGGAAATACATAAATTCTAAATTTCCTTCAGAATATTATCTCGCGTTTCGCGAGCAAAGTTTTCAATGAAAATAACGAATCGTACGAGAAAAGTAATTACAATATTAATGGATTAAATATGGTCGTCTGCTCTATCACGTGACTCCATTTTGTTTTATGTGTCACCGATTCTCGGACCGCCCGCAGTGACGCGCAAGGCTGGGTCATCCGTGACCCACAAAACTATATTTTATTACATAAACAATGAATAACGTTCTATATTTACTAGCCGCTTAATTTACGTGTAAAACTCCGTCACGTATTGCACGTTTGATTGCAAACTCGTTGCTGTTAATAAAAACCGAAACGGAAGAGTGATGGGTTAGGAAAAATTATAGAAATAATTTGAAAAAAGAAGCTCGGAGCTGTGCAACACAGTATGAAATCGATTATTTGTCTGCAGATAAACATACCTAAAGGATGCAATTTCGCGCGATAGTGCAGTGAACGCGGTACACTCCGAAAGAAAAATATAGTACACCCTTTATTTCCCTGTATTTTGGGCACGCTTGTACCAACAACGCGTCATTCGCAACACTCATTCCAACTAAATTCTCCGATCAATTCACTAATTTCTTTACAGCTCGAACTCCTACTTAACTCTGTCTCCATTTTCATCGATAATCGATATCGATATTTCATAGATAATCGATATATAATAATAATCTCCTACATAGGAGATATATGTAATAATCTCCTACATAGGAGATGTATGTAATAATCTCCTACATAGGAGATATATAATAATAATCTCCTACATAGGAGATATATGTAATAATCTCCTACATTATATTTTGTACTACAACACGATTACTTTTGAATATATCTGTCAATTGGGAGTCTACGAATAAGTACATGAAAGTCAAGTAAAGAGTGCGCCAGCATTTTGTGTGTAAAAGTGTAACATCCGAAATAGTCTAAAGTAAACATTGCCGTTTCCTTTGCATCCCGTGTCTCGATACATCCTCGATACGGTGAATAGTCACGTTCGATATTACAGTCGCGAGACCTCGAGATACGCGAGAACGAGATGGAGACGGAGACGACAAAAGGGAAGCAATCGAGCTGGATGGAAAAGAAAAAAGAAAAAGAGAAGAACGATCGGTACTCACCGAGCCGAAGTTCCCCGAAGTTGCCGGATCCGATTTTCTTGCCGACACGGAAGTTCGGGCCAACCATCAACACATTGGAGGACGACGTGACACTATGCCTCGACGAGTGCACGTTGGACCTGGTCGCGTTCCCGCTGCCGCGCGAGATCCTCTTCGCGGCTTCCTGGTCGCGTTCGGGGCTAAGCGCGAACTCTTTCTCGCGTGTCTCTCTACCGTCCCTTTTCTGCATTTTCGCTGGACAATGGTCTCCTCCTCCGTTGCGGCGAAATTATCCGTGGCGACAACCCGTGTCCGCGCGAACTGTCGGGAGATGCGGCGAGAAAAGCACACACGGATCGTATAAACGGCGGGACAACGGGACCGACAGATAGAGAAACCGAAGGGTTAAAAAAGGAGAAAATAAAAAAATAAAGGTTCTCCCCCGAGAGAGACACGCGTTGAATAACAAACCCCCCCCTCCCCCGGTTCACGGTCGATTTTTAATGGTCGCGACGTTGCACGGTGTCGTATCGGGGATCGATCCCCATTCTTGACATATTTTCTTTTCTCGTCTTCCCTCGGACAACCGCCGACGGATATAATACTCCAGCGGCTTCCTGGGGGAAGAATCTATGTACACACACACACAGAGAGACGCGTCTTACGGGGATTGGCACGCACACACGGCACGACACGACGTTGACGACGGCGACGATAACGTCGACAACGGCACAGGGAGGAACAGGAGAGACACAACCGTGTACGCGGCGAGTCGCAGGTGTCACGGTGCGTCGGTCGATGCCTTCAGGGGATCAATCCCCATGCTATCCTAACCTCGAAAACTGATTTTCCGAAAACTGTTTACACTTGTAAATATATATATATCTATATATATATCTATATATATATATATGACGAAGGAAACGGAGCAGAATGAGGAACACGCGCGAACCACACACATACACAGGTTCTATCCCTTCTTCCGCCGCGTTTCTTCTTCACGTTCCGTCTTTTCCTCCTCCTCCCGTTCGTTTACTCTTGTTTCTAAGCGGCTAGTGATTATCACAGACTGGAGCAGCAGCGAGTGTTCGTCGTGTCGAGGACCCTGGACGATTCCATGCCAATTTCGATCTGGCTCTGTTCTCACCCGGCCGGCCGGGAGGAATAGTCAATGAGAAATATCGCGTTTCAGTCAATACGGCGTGCATCGCCGTGGTCTGTTCCCTTGCGGTCGAACACACACGAAAACGGTCACCTCCATTAGCAAAACAAGGGGCCCCTGCCGCGTGCGATCGCGATCCAACTGCCTGAATCCTCTCGTGGCCCGAGACAGACAGACAGACACCACCAGGCCTCGCCGCCACCACCGCGAACGGAGGATTCTCGATTCTGCGGTTAAGATTCGGGGAGCGCCGCCGGAGCGGCTCTGGAACTGTTTCCCGGTGACACGCACACAGCCACCATGCACCAAAGCGAGCTTCCTCTGTTCTCCTTCTTGTTTAAGGAAACCGTTCGCAGCCGTGTGTCACTACCAGTACACTCGATCAGCTATTGTGTGCCTACACACGAGAGCCCGGATTAACCGAGCACAGTCCCTCACGGTCCCTCTCTGTCTATCTATCTATCTGTCTATCTCTTTCTCTCTCTCTTCCCTTTTTCTCACTCTCTCTCTCTCTCTCTCTCTCTCTCTCACTCTTTCTCGCCGTCTCTCCTCCTCTCCCCCTATGACTCTCTCTATCACTTCCAGAATTTCTCCAACGAAACCTCGATCGAACGGACACGTACCCACTTCTCCCAGCTGTACCGTTCTATCGGGCGATCGCACACACGCTATTCGAAAGAGCCGTCGAACGCGGACAAACGATCGCGGACAAGCTTACGCTCCTGTCTCTCGCGCTCGACTCGACATGGGTGAGATTTGTTACGAGGCCGACAGTGCTGCCAACTGAGCCACGGAATTAGGCCGCGTTCCCAACGATTTATCATAAACCGAGTTAAGGGTGACACCGCGACGGTTTCGGCAAACCGATTTCCAGCACGCATACCCTTGTAAGTGGGTGTCTCGTGAAAATTGCCTCAGAGTTCTATACTCGAGTACGCCAAGCATAGGTAAATCTATCTCGTGAATGTAGCTTTAGAACTGTATATGCATTCAAATTTTTGAAGAAGGAATTGTTAAATTAAAAATTCATTCAATTACATAACGTTCATTTGAGTGTTACAACTCAAAGTTTCAAGTCTAGGGTAAACGAGTTTGAAGGTTTCAATAACAGTTGATACTATAAAACGTTGATTCACGTATAAAAATATATTAATATTCTTTTTCGATGTTTACCAATGCCTATCTGTCCTTAAAATTTCGAATTCTATTCTGACTTATAATGCTACTTATGTTAAATTCAATTAAGAGTTGTTTAGTATAATACAATAATACTTCATGTTTTATTTTACTGTATATTCAGTTCGCAGTGAATTCTGTCTTAGCATTGAATAGTCAACCAATTACAGTAAAGCAATTTCTACTTCTATTCTCGCTAAAGGAGCGGGCTGCGGCCGGAGAATCTTGCAAAACTTGAGGTATTAGTGAGCAAATTACTGAAGTATTATTTACAAAACTTTAGGTATGTTGTCATTGTCAGAAGAAACATTCAACAAAATCAATAAGGCGAAGGAAGCAACTACAATTACATTGACAGCAACATCATAGTGACACGAAAGCCGACACTTTTCTTGAAATTTCGATACAATTCATATTTCAATTACAAATATACAATCACAGACGAAGTATAAGAGCAGATCAATCACCCAATGCATTTTTCTGTTACACACCCTTGGAGTTCTAACACCCCATTACCGATTCTGTGTTGCACACATACTTACTGATATTTTCACAAATTTAATTCAGTATTTTATTTACTTCATTTCTCGATCACTTAATCGATCACATTGACATCGACACCAAATGCTATAGAATAGAATAGAAATAATATAAAGTAGTGAGAACTAAAGATCACGTTTTGTATAAATACCGTTCAACAAAGAAGCATTTATGACTGAACGCGTCCTTATTTGTCAGTAAATTGAAATGTAGATATAATTGCGATATCCCTCATTTTTAATGATATAATTAAAGTTAATGGACAGATGGTTCTCAAAATGAGGTATACAGAATACTCAATTCTCACTAAGAAGACAAAAATTTCGGAAATTGTAGGTATGTATCGGTAACGACGAACGCGACATGCTGCTCTCTCGCGGTAAATTTTGGAAATCTACATCCCATTTACAACTAATTTTCTTGCAAATTTTTAGTACCGTTACTGTTACGCTAATGTGTAATATATGACACGGTAAAAACTATTTTGGATTACACGATCTAATGTACAATTACGTTTGAAATATTGCCGCGCTATCCAACGTTTTCAACTTCTCGTACGTAGTCTTGTCTTCCTTTTTCATTCAATGACGCAGCGAAAGGGATCGAAATATAAATTTAAAGAAACTGCAACGCTGTATGCACGTAAGAAGTCAAGGTCATCCGATGATGAGAACACGAAAGTCAAAAGTACGATAGAAATTTCGTTGACGACATACTCTGAGTCCCCTATTTTCAACAACCGTAGATAATAGCATGCCTCCAAATAATTTTGTCCAATGTTGACAGCTTTTCCTTTATTAGTCCCGTTTTTAAATAACAGAACGTGTATTATAGTCTAACGATGTAAGTTTATTATAATCCTATTCAAACAAAGGAGAGATAACGTTTTCAAATGCATTGTTATCAAGCTTTTACTTTTGGCTAATTATATATCTATTTATCAGTATCTATCCGATGACAATAAATATGGCATTGATTTTGAATTTTCAAATCGAACAGAACACATGAAATTTAAACATGGAGTTAATTTTTTAAATCTGGTATTTTTGGCGGGATTTTCTATTCGTAGAGGTTCTAGATACAGTATTTAATTAAATTGAAACATTAAGTATTAGAACAGAATGTTGTGTCGTATTATGTCCGTGTTTCCATGGAAACCGATTTGAATTTTACCGATTTCTTTGATGTACCTTATACATTTCCAAATATTATTTTTATTATTTTTGTGTATGATATTATAGTACCATGGAAGAGTTAACGAATACTGACGTACGAATCGTGTTGAACATAAAAGAAGGTAAATCACATCATAGTTCATTAACCTTTTATAACGATTGTCTAGTACTAAATGTAATTGTAAACAAATACTTGTAAAAAATGTATAGATTGAATAAAACTTGAAATTATTCGAGTATATTTTTTAATATTCATGTAATATCATACAAGTCCCTACATTGACTGTATCTGTTACGTTAATACTAAACTTCATTATTACAAGCTTTAAGCATATTTGTGCACAAAAACTGAAAACACCGAAATTTTGTTTACATTCATAGGTAGAGGTTTTGAGCAAATTTTATTACCAACATCTGTGACTGCAACTTTAGATGGACATTTGTTAGAAACTGAAGCAATTGACCCAAGTCCTAATCCCCAATATGATCATGATTTGGTTTGGGAAGTAGACAAAAGTAGACTACGGAAGTATGTGCTATAAGGAAGTGAAATATGTCTGGGATAGTTGCTAAAAAATTTTGTATTAATTTTATAGGATGAGATCAGGACAAGTCCCATTAAAATTAGAATGTTTTACTGTTAAAAGCAACGACAGTAAAGAAAAGTTGGGATATATCCTGCTAAGTCTACGATCTGCACAAGTATTTTCTAAAAATGAAGATGTTAATGTGAAAACTAATTGGCATAAACTGCTAGGACTGAAAAGTAATCTGAAAATGGATAAACCAGAGTTATTTCTTGGTTTAAGTATTCATGATCAAGATTCTACATTATTAAACTGTCATGTAGAGGTAACTATTCCATTATTTATGATAAAATTGTGAACTTTTATGCATTTAGCATATTTTGGTAACATGATTATTTTTTATTCTGAAGAATTTAAAACAATTCGAACAAGCAACAATTCAAGATGATAAAGTAACT